GGAGGAGGAGGAGGAGGGAATGACTGGGGCAGAGGAGGAGGAGGAGGTGGAGGAGGAGGAGCAAGAAGAGAGAACCTGAAGAGCTCCGAATTCAATTTCTCCACTCAAAACAGATTCTCAACGCTAGACACTCCCAGTACTTTTGAAAGAATAGGAGGACGGGGAGGTGCAGCGGCAGGAGGGACAGCTGGGGATGAAGATGATGATAAAAAACTGTGAGCTCAATCCCTTTTTTTCCCCCCTCATTTTGGGGCTCTCAAACACATTTCCGGGTGTCATGTGATCATCTTTGTCTCGCCATCCCTCCCACAGGGAGATTATCCAGACAGACATGGACACCTGGGAGAGTTCTGGGCAGTGGGGCTTCTCGTGCTACTCCACCTTAAAGAATTCTGTTTCTGGTCTGGATCGAATTCCCTCTCACTCACATACAGCCTCTGCTTTTATTATGATCATGGGAACAGACCTCAACCTTTTCCTTAACTCTTGTGCACAGGTTTCTCCGACCTCTCTCCAGAGGAGCTCAGGCTGGAGTACTACACCACACGGGCGTCGGGAGACATGCAGAGCTATGTAAGACCGGCAAGTTGTTTTAGTGCTTGACGTTGGGCTCTTCTGTGCAATCGAGGTTCTACATGTTAGCATTTCTGACTTTGTGACGACATGCAACAGAATGATACGCCCCTCGTTTGTGCGTTTAGCTGAACGGCGTCAGTCAGCTGCTCAGTCAGTGGAAAAGCAGAGTCCAGGAGCTGAAGACGATGAGTCCTCCCACCCGCGCCGCCCTGGTAAAAGAGCCACGGCTCACAGAGCTCAGTGGTTTCATACAATCTGAACCAGACTGCGTTTGTCCAGGTGTGGGCAGTTAGAGTTTTTTCTTTGGTCTCAGATTGCAGAGTTAAACGGTGCTGCCCCTCAGACGTCCTCCGGCGGCTTTGGATCCACCTCGGCAACAACCGTGTTCGGATCCTCCGCATCCGGCTTTGGAAGCAAAGGTGAAGTATTACTAATGTGTCCTCCGAAAGCTTGGGTTGGTCACAGATCAGGCTACTGCGCACATGCACCTCAGCAGAATTCTATTAAAACGGAAAATGAAGCCCTCTTTTTCTTTAATGTGGTAGAAAACAAGTAATAGTAATATAAGCACAGCACCAGAAGCAGTTAAATATGACACTTTTCATTGTTTTTATGCTGTCCATGTAGACTTATTGTCGCGTTTACCATCCTCGTGCAGGTTTTGGTGCCCCGGCTCCAGCCCAGGCCAGCAGCTTCAGCTTTGCTCCTTCACAAACTGGATTTGGTTCCACATCTGCTGATCCCTCATCATCATCATCGTCGGCGTCATCCACCGTGCCGGGTTTCGGTAATGTCGCAGCGCCCCCCCCACAGCCTGCCACTGGGTTCGGGGCCTCTTCAGCCTCGGGGTTCTCCTTCGCCGCTCCGACCAGCGACAAGCCGGCCGCCCCCGCGGGTTTCGGATCGGCCCCCGCGGGCTTCGGATCGGCCCCCGCGGGCTTCGGAACGGCCCCCACGGGCTTCGGAACGGCCCCCACGGGCGGCAGCGGCGTTTCGGGGGGAGGATTCGGGACGGGGGCCGGAGCCGGGGAAACGCCGGGCGGTCTGTTTTCACCCGAGAGCAAACTGACCGAGGAGGAGCTGAACCAGTTCCGGGCGAAGCGCTTCACTCTGGGCCAGATTCCCCTGAAGCCCCCCCCAGCTAACATGCTTGTAGTGTGACACTGCCGGACATTAAGAAAATTTACAGGAAATACGTATTTTTCTCTGCACAGCACAGATGTTTTAACCAAAGCTGTTTAATCATATTTAAGATAATTTTTGTTTTTCTGCTTTGTGTAAACATAAGTAAACATTATGAACAGTTTTACAGCGCAATGCATGTCGTTTGAACTGCTATTTTCAACATCCCGATCAGTCAGTTTGTTCTTAATGTGTGGTATTCATCAGGTGTCGCTCTAACAAGACACAAACGCACCTGTTACAGCCAGTTAAGAAAATCTGGCCGCATACTTTAAAAGAAACTTAGGGGAACATTCAGAAATTTCAGCTGCGACCTGCAGTTGCAGACAGCACTCAGAAGATGGCGCCACAGGAAAAAAAGCGACTCCCCAGGAGGAGTCCGCACAAAAGCTGTGCACGTTTCCGCGCTTGTAATGCGGCGCAGTATTTAAACAGGGGAAGCAAAACCAGTCCGAGCCAAACGGTTCCCCACAAAACGCCACAGGACGGAGCAGTCCAGCGATGGCTGGACCCGGGCCCGTTTTCAGGGAGACCAGGACAAAGTTAGCCAGAGCGGCCTCTGGGGCCGGGGCCAAGAGGCATCTGTGGATTTACCCCGACACCACACACTTCCTCTCCCGCTTCTCAGTCTGTCAGAAGTACCCACCCCCCCGCCCCCCTATCCCACCCCCCCATGCTGGTAGATAATGCATAAATAATTCAACAGATTAAAAAGAGACTATCTCATGAAAAGATGCTCTCGTCTCACTGGAACCAGTT